CCAGGGACAAGGTCTAGAAGGCAAGAGGAGACAGGATAGCTGGTAAAAGGGAACCCAAGGTTGAGAAGGGAGAGTGTTGACATGTCATGGGTTTGTTAACCAGTGTCATAAAACGGTATGTGTACTAACTGTTTAATGAGAAACTATTTGTTCTGTAAACCTTCATCTAAAGTACAACAAAGAAAAATTTTTTAAAAAAGTGCTCAATAATACTTGTCCTGATTATCTCACAAGTTGTTGTGAATATCAAGTGAAAAGATTAAACAAAGCATAATCAGAACTCTTGATTCCCTACCCAACCTGTTTGTCAGTCAGTCTTACTCTTGAGTAGATGGCATCAACATCCGTCCAGTTATCCAAGCCAAAACCTACAAGTTGTTCTTGATTGCTCTTTCCCTTGCCTCCAAAACCCAATCCCTCAGGAATCACCTGTTTCATATAACCAAAACATACCTTGAGTCTATTTTTCTCCATGTTACTACCATCACTTTAGCACAAACCACAACTTTTTCTCTCCTTTCTACTGAAAGTCTTCTATAATCATCTTCTCTTTTTTTTCTTTAGTATCCAGTCTCCAAATAGTAGCCAGAGTGATATCTTAAAAATCAGATCATGTCTTCCTCCTGCCTGCCTCTTTCTTCTCTGTCTTAGTTATCTGGTGCTTCTATAAGAGAAATACCACAAATGAATGCCTAACAAAGAGAAATTTACTTTCTCAGTCTAGGAGGCTACAAGTACAAATTCAGGGTGCCAGCTCCAAGGGAAGGCTCTGGGGGAAGTTCGTTTTCATCAACCTTCCCCTGGTCTAGGAGCTTCTCAGTGTACGGTCCCCAGGTCCAAAGGATGCACCCGTCTCCTGGTTCTTCATTCTTGGTGGAATGAGATCCCCCAACCCCCAGCCTCACTGTGATGTCCTGGTCATGTCAAGTGCTCTGGAGTCACTGTCTTCTATTGAAGTGTCCCTGGGATAGAGCAGAGATGACATTTAGGGAATACCTGCCTGACACAGATACTACATATGCACTTTTTGGAGACTGTCACATTTAAAGTCTTACTGTCCCCCATGGAGTGGATACCACTATTGTCCTCATTTTACAGATGGGGAAGCTGCAGCTCAAAGAGGTTAAGGGCTGGTTTGTAAGGGCCACATATTTTTACCGTGCAGTTCAAAAGAGGCGTTTCCTCTTGAATGAGGAGCGGTGACCCTTAGTTATCTTAGGCTGTGTTCTCCAGAGAAGCAAAACAGTAAAGTGAATAAATATGTATAGAGGGGGATTTATATCAAAGAAATGGGTCACTTGGTTGTAGAGGCTGGAACGTCCCAAATCTGTGGGTCAGGCTGGAGGCTTCTCCTGATTCATGTAGCCACAGGGGCTGGCAAACCAAAGATCAGAAAGTCGGACAGCAGGGCCCTGGCTCACAGAATGCACGAAGACTGATCTGCAGCCAAAATGGCAGGTAAGTTACTAGCTCAAGTCCGAAGAACCAGGGGACAGACGAACAGGAGCCAGCTGCAGGATCCAGAGTGAGCAAAAGCCCACAAACTTTGCCAGAAAGTCCACCTATATTGGATGCAGGCCACACCCCCAAGGAAACTCCCCTTCAACTGATTGGCAACTCACAGCAGATCCCATCATGGAGGTGATCACCTTATATCAGATCTCATCATGGAGGTGATCACATCATTATACAACTGCCAAACAACATCATAACTGCCAAACCACAGAGAGTCATGGCCCAGCCAAGCTGACACACAAACTTAATGATCTCAACGTCTTTTCAAACCATCTTGCCCTTGCTAATGGTGCTCAGGCACACTGGCTTTCTACTTTCTAGAGTGACCTTTGCCACCCAAACTACAGTAAGCCCTCAATTGCTTTCTATCACATCAAACTGTTTGATTTTCTTTATAACACATCACTTATCTGATACCTTATTTTTTTTTGTCTGTTTATTTGTTTATTGTCTTTCCTCCACTAGAAATGGAGCCACATGAGACAGGAACTTTGTATTATTTAAAAGAATAACCCTAACTCCTAGGAACAGTTCCTACCTTGTAGTGGGTGTTGAATAAAGATCTGTGGAATGAATAAAACACATTTTGTTTACTTAAGAAAATTTAGAATATGTGTAATACTTTGTAAGTTGTAAGTGCTCAGTGAAGGGAGTTCACCACAGTCTTACTTGGTGTTTGCAGGGGGAGGATGTCATCTTGTACGACCGATCCTTGGCATGTGTGAGGGGCAGATGAAGACAAAGTCTGGAGATGCTCAGTGCTTTGGCCAATTCACACAGAATTAGTGGCTGAAGCAAGGCCAGAGTCCCTTCTCCTGGCTCTCCTCCATGGTCTCACCTTGGCTTTGCTGCCTCTCCAGAGAGTACTACAAGTTACATGGATAAACTGGTCCAAGTAGAATAGGAACTCTCTTGAAACCTGCTGTTTCTTCTGAGCCTTTGAATTGGAGTGAATCAGATGTTTTGGTGCATTTGTTATTATTTTTAATCTTCTGCTACAGGAACCTTCATGTAAGCTCCAGGCAGTCTTGAGATTAACTAAACTAGGCAAGAAATTGCCATATTTATTTATTTACTGATGTTTTAAAGCATTTTCTAAATGTTTTCAATTCCTGTTCTTTTTCATTTACTTCTTCACTTCAGGGTTCTAGAAAGAACCACAGAAAGGAAAAAAGCAAGTTCTGAAATGCAGTAAGAAAAATAGTTTGTTTTTGAGGATTTTCTAGTTCAATGAACAGAAGAAAGCCCTTCTTCTCACAAAATCTGCAGTCAAATGTTTAATCTCAAAAGATTCTAGCAGTTTATTGAAACATTTTAAAAGTTGTACCAGCTCTTTGGAACCAAAGATAAATGCATGCATTTTGCATTTGATAGTCCATCAATCAATTGGAAATACCATAGCTGATCCTCCTTGTAGAGTCCTTGTAACAAACAGGGTGTTATTGCAAGGCATAGGACGAGCTTCAAGCTTTGACTTTGTATATAATTTGCTGTTCCCTCTGAGAATGAGTACATTTAAACCTTATTATATTTTCCTATTTTTGACTCCTAAAAGAAAATACTAATGACTTACATTAGTACCTGCCCCTTCCCTGGTATAATTCTGTATACTGTATAATACTGTAAACACTTTAAGTGTCCAACACGTGTTGATGACTATTTGCTTTTATTAAATATATATATATATAAATTGAGTATATAATATGGGTAGCAATATTACACATTTTTATAAAATGATTTATGACATTTTTAGAGTAGGATTTCTAAAAGCACTTTTTTTCTTAACCTTTCTCATCCAAATATATTCTTTATCTAATACACAGTGTCTAGCACACAACTAGAGGGCAGTGGAGGTTCAGTGATAGAATTCTCGCCTTACATGCAGGAGGCCCAGATTTTATTCCTGGCCAGTGCACCTCATGCGCAGACACCATCGATCTGCCAGTGGAGACTTGTGTGTTTCCATGATGCTGAAGAGGTTTCAGCAGAGCTTGCAGACTAAGATAGACTGGGAAGTGAGGCCTGGAATCTACTTCCAAAAATTAGCCAGTGAAAACATTATTGAGCACAATGGTCCAATCTACAATCGATTATGGGAATGGTGCAGGACTAGGTTAACTCAATGGCTGCTAACAACAGCGCACACATGTTTAGCTCTCAGGAAATGTTGGTGATTTTGATTGGATATAATTTCTTCTCTAAAAAATCCAAGACTAAATTTATATTTAATTAAATAATATATGTGAAGCAAAGTAGGACACTTATATAGATGGTGGTAATTATGGTTAGTTATTAATTATACTTAGTATCAATCCCTACAGGCAGGAAAGAAAGATGTGGTGCTTAGGGCAGGGAGGAAGGTGGCTGCTCCAGCCACAGTGATGTCCCGACCCTCTACCCCACTTCACCTGGTCCCTACTGCATTGTGAGTCCTGGTTGGCATTAAAGATGGGCACTGAAGGGCTAAATAGGGAGAATATTAGCAGAAGAGGTAAACCCACAGAGAGGAATTAAAACCATGTTAGTCCCTGCTGTTAGAGGACAGTGGGCATCCTTTTCCTCACATGTTCCTGCCTGAGATACAAAGGGCCATCTGAGAGAAAGCATGCAGGCATTATACAATGAGGCACCTAGAGACTAGAAGTGCTACAGAGCCTTACTGGGGAAATGGGATGAGTGGGAGACAGGGCTTAGAAGACAGCTTTGGGATTCCAAAGATTTTGGGGATCTCTTTCTTTTGAAGTTAGAGGCTTTGCCTTTTGTTTATGAAACTCTTTTACTGATAAGTTAGACAATTCAGGATGGGGCCTAGGAGAAAGAAGGGGAGAGAAGCTACTTCAGATTGGTTTAGAAGGGGAGAGGCAAAGGAGGCTTTTATATGTCTTCCAAAAAGGCCTAGTCAGCTCACCTGAGTAGGAGTCAGGGATTTGGAATAGAATTTCTCTTTCTGATAATAAAGGACTGAGCATTTGGATGAAATTTTCCTTGTACTGTCTATAGGAAACCTGAGCATACTGGATGAGCGTGCTAGACAGGAACTACAACAATCCCAAATACTAGTTCAGAATTCTGATCTCTAATTTCTATGATTAAGTGTGATAATACTACTAATAATAATTGGAAGAAAGGCCTGGTGATCTGCTTCTGTAAAGATTACAGCCAAGAAAACCCTATGCAGCACAGTTCTACTCGGCAACACATGGGGTTGCCATGAATCAGGGGCTGACTGGTGACAGATAACACCACCACTACTACTAATAAATATGTATTGAGTACTCAGAATATAGACTGGTGATGGTTAAAAGAGATAATTAATATAAATAACTTAGCATAATGCCTGGCTAATAAGCAATAAGCAATAGCAATAACTACTACTACTACTCATACCACAACCACCATCATCAGAGTGTGCAGTACATTTAGTGATTCCTGGGCTGCATTTTGAATTCTGAATTGTATAAGAAATTGGGAATCACATAATTTAGCCATTGTTTCTTTTAATCCCCGGTGACCATGCATCATATGAAGAGTAAGAAGACCCTAGATTTTGCAGCCAATGCATGGTTATCTTGCATCCGAGCAGATGGGGATATTGTCTGTGAGCTTCCTATAGTGAAAGAAGGACAAGCTATTTTTCCATGTGTGTTGTTAATCTTCAGTAGCATATATTATATATACAAATTGTTTTATAATCACTTAAATTTACTTTGGAACTATTTAGTTACAGAATATTTTTCCTACTTCTAAGGAGTTGTCTTATCCATTAAGAAGTGACCTTTTCAGATTCACAGCATGAGTTTCTGGCATATCTGGATTCTTAGGACCCAGCTACAGTCACAGAGACTGAGGCTATGACAGCAAAGAAAGATCACAGCTACCCCTCATCTGGCTTTGCTTGGGCCAGACAGTGGCCACCTCGTGCCATCACTTCACTTTTGATTTATGTCCTCATCAAAACTTAAGTCATTTTAAACTTTAAGCATTATGTACAATTACACTGTCACCCTTGCTACTAAAATACCAGGCATAAAATGCCCTTCTATGTCATACAGAGGAGAATACACTCTTTTTAAAAAAAAAAATCTTTTATTTCTCTTTCTGATAAATCTATAAACCCTTTGAGGATTCATGGTGTAAAAATGCCTATTTAGAAGTAAAATTAATAATAGAAGGAACAAAAGTCCCTCAGTAGATACAGAAATTCCAGAAGAGAGGAGTTTTCATGCGATGTTTTTTTGCTATAGCCTGAGAACCCTTCATCATAGCGACTCATAGTGACCCTAGAGTTTCCAAGGATGGCCTGGTGGATTTGAACTACCGACCTTTTGGTTAGCAGAGAGTGGGAATTGACGGCAACGGGTCTGGTTTTTTTTTCGTTTGAGAACCCTTGGATCTGGACTCTATTTGTATGAATTCCAAGGTGGTTGATTTGCAATTTTCTTCCCTCCCCTTTGCTTTGCCAGTAGTAAGATACCATGTTTATGTCCATACTGGGCAATTGAAGCAAGCAGAAACGGAGTCTGAAGTTTATCTGTGTCTCTATGGAGAGAGAGGAGACTCTGGTCTTAGACTCATGTACAAATCTAACATGCTAATAAAATTTCAAAGTGGACAGGTAAGTCTGTATGAATAACTTTTCTGTGTTCTTAGCAATCCCTCTGAAGATGACCACATGATTTAAACTTAAGAGGTGCTTGTCACTCTTCAAGCTTTGGTTTTAGGACATCTTTAACACAAGTTTTCCTTGACCTGACTTCCTAATGTGCTTTGTTGTAAACTTATTCTTGAATGAAAAATCGGACACGCTAAACAAGCAATGAATAATAGAACAAAGAAAAAGATATTAAAAATTAGTGATAGTGTAAGAAAAAGAAAAAAAGATAAGTTGAAAAGATACCAGGGAAAATTATAATATGAACATCTTCAGACAGGACTGAAAGACACAAAAAAATTATTCTAAAGGATCAGGTCATAGAAGGGCCATTAGAGTATCTTTTATATAATAACACAATGGCCTTTCTTTAAAACACCTTGAGCAGGACAACTACATTGTTTTAACACTAAAGTCCTTCACAATTTCCTTTTGTCTTTTATATATAAGCAAGAGTATTTTTATATATTAGATGTTTGAGAAGTTGCAGTGGGATATACATCAATCTAATTAATTTGTAATGTTGTTATTTTGTTGTATACAGAAAGAAGGTTTGGGGGTTTGAAATTAAGAATGTGGATTATGTAACACAAGGGTATAATTTTAAGAAAGAAGACTCCTAAACCACTTTGAAAGTGTTGTTTCTCAAGCTTTTTTTGTTATTGTTGCACATGGAATATTTTGAAACATCAAAGATCTCAAAGTTCACCTACGCCTTTTATTTGATACTGCAGATTACACAAACGTTTTCATCAGAATAAGTAGGAAAGCTAGTTCTGCTTTGGATGAGACAAAATGAGTCCCAACTTTTGCTGACAATCACAAGTGACTTATTAATTTCGAATAGAAACAAAAATGTAGATATTATGATTTTATTATTGGTATTAGGCTGAGTGATCAGTGAAGTTATCACCTAAATGACCCTCAGAGCTTTCCATCAGTCCAAGACCCTCTCACTAAGCCACTTTCTGCTATGTGTTCAGGCTCTGCCCCTACTGGCTAGCATGCAGCATTTTGTAGAGGTGCTACACCACGTGCAACGGCATGCTGAGATTTCTTTACATATTGCCTTTTGTAAATCATTTTCATGATTAATCTTTCATAATTCATCATTTTGTACAGAATTTACTGGAGTGGGAAGGAAATATATGGACTGAGATTAAAATTTGGTGGGAGGTATAGTACAATGAGAGTATAAAGAGGAGTCAGTATGTGGGGCTTAATGGTATCTGTTCTGAAGTTCAGAATCAGAGATATGAAAGTGTTTTTTTCCCTGGTTTATTTTAGATTTTATATGTTTTTATTGTTTTTCTCAATGCTTGTAATGAATGTAAAGTAATGAAAATGCCGAATGACTTCAAGAATTATTTCACACTAGCTACAACACACATCTTTAACCATGAACTAGGGAAGCACCAATGTGACTGAAAGATACTGTATTTTTTGGGATATAGAAGTATACAATATGCAAGAAATAACACCATGATCTAAAAACTACACATATTTACAGATATTGCAAAGATTTGGTTAGATTTCCTTAACAGATAGTTACTAAGCCATTTCAGTTGCCCTGAGAAGTTCAAGTGTTTCTACTTCATTAAAGAGTATCTGGTGGGTCACTAAATCAGCAATATCTATTTCTAAATCAGCAATATCTATTTGTATAAAGAGCATTGTCTTAACCATTGATTGTGCTCCTTGGTGCCATTTTCCCCACAAGATGTCCAGTGGTTTAATCAAAAGCCAGCAACATACATAAAATAGCCCAGTCTGATCATCTTCAAAACTGAAGTTACTTTAACATGCAAGAAGAAACCAGAAAGCTGATGCAGGCAATATGTCTGGATCTCTAAGTATCTTAGATTGGGTTTGCCTCAAAGCAGATCATGAGACAAAGACTTGGGTGCAGATAGTTTACCTGGGAGGTGATCTAGTAAGCACCTAGGAAGTAAAGGACTGGTTAAAGTGATGTAGAAATGGGAGAAAAGCCAATATAGCAATATTAACGAGCTGGTTACTACTGGGGTTCCTTCTTGCTAGGGACCTTCAGAGGAACCCTGAAGAACATCCCTTAGAATTATTCCCCCAGGGGAAGCCCTTAGGCAAAGAGGCAGTGAGACACAGGGGATTAAGATAGAAAGCTGACAGCATGCCTAAACTATGAACCAGAGCAGTAGATGAACCCCAAAATGGGCCCTGGGACATAGGGCAGAGCATCAAGCACATCTGCTATAACAAGTGATGCGCATCATGAAATGTCCTTTGTAAAGGCACACTGTTAATACAAGATAGTGACAATGAGACCATCAAGGCACACCCAGTAAGATGCACAACCTTAATCTGATTTACAGAAGCATCATTATTGGGCTAGTAATGACATTTCAAGGAGCCCTGGTGGTGCAGTGGTTAAGCACTCTACTACTAACCTAAAGGCTGGTAATTTGAACCCACCAGCCACTCTGAGAGAGAAAGATGTGGCAGTCTGCTTCTATAAAGTTTTCAGCTCTGGAAACCCTATTGGGCAGTTCTACTCTGTCCTATAGAGTCACTATGAGTGAGGTTTGACTAGCTGGCACTGGATTTGAATGGCCTTGGTCTGGTCTAAACAAGAGAAAATTTCCATTGACAATATGGAACCAACAGCTGAGGCCTAGGCAGTATATCTTCAAATATTGAATTGAAATTTAACATGGTAACAGTGCAGGCAGCAATGAAGACAACCCATCCCACACAGAAGATACAAAGAATACTTTTCTTTTTGCAAATATTTGCATTTTTACCATGAAGGTGGGTAACAGTCAACTGTCATTTTTGGGAATTTCTCAGATTTCATTAAATTTATGACCCTTTGCTCAGGTAATTATAGGGTGGTTTTCCTAAACAGCAGAGTCCTCGGGTGGTGCACAAGGTTAGCACACTTGTCTGATAACTGAAAGGTTGGAGGTTCGAGTCCAACCAGAGGTACCTCAAAGGAAAGGTGTGGCAATCTACTTCCAAAAAATCAGCCTTGAAAACCGTATGGAGTTGTACTCTGACACACATGGAGTCGCTGTGAGTGAGAGTTGACTCAATGACAAAAAAAGAAAGAAAGAATTCTCCCAAACAATGGAAGAAATCTTTGAAGCTGTTCTTTTTGTTCCAACCTGCTAGCATTTACTTTAGGCTCTGCATCTCTTCAGAAATGCCAGTGAGTTTTTTGACAGGACAAACTGATTCGATTTAGGAATGAAGATTCCAGGATGCTCTTTCACAACAAATCCAAGCATGTGCTGGGTGATTGTTTACAGAGGAAGTTGCAGGAGAGGAGTTATTGAAGAAAAGAAGGAAGGAGGGAGGGAAAGAAGGGAGAGAGAAAGAGAAAACGTGTTCCCACATGCCTCAGAGAAGATCAGCATCTTTTATGCCATGTGGCTGACAGCCTGACCACCTCACAGACTGCTTCACAGAAGCAGGGGTGGAAGCAAGAGAGAAGCCACAGATTGGAGGCCTTTGTATTAGGGTCTGTTTATTTATTACATTGGATGTTACCACAAATGGAGTAAATGAAACTGAGAGGGAGAAAAAAGTACAGCCAGAAATATAGTTTTAAAGATAAAAAAGTTATTTTCTTATTTTTCTTTCCTTAAGCCCCTTTTTGATGCTAACTGTAGTGACATTATCTCTTGTAAAGAATTGTGCTGCTTATGACAATCCTTGGGCTGTCATTATTGCCTGTATTTGTCATGTGCTGGAACCTAGTTATTTCTGTGGGGATTATCTCTGTCTCTTGCACCAGATAGATACATTTCAAGTGGAAGCAGTGTCACTTGGAAAACTGCAGAAGGTGCTGTTGCACTGTGAGGCCCACAGTAAATCGCAGTACCATTACTGTGAGAAGGTCCTTGTCAGAGAGCCTGGAGCCAAAATGGAGTCCGTCTTCACCTGTGAAAGGTGGTGTTGGTCGCTGTGGGCCTTAATCAGAGTGTGCTGCACTGTGGGTAATACTGTGTGGGGTTTTGACTATTTATTTATTTATTTTTTATTGTACTTTAGGTGAAGGTTTACAGAACAAATAGTTTCTCATTAAACAGTCAGTACACATATTGTTTTATGACATTGGTTAACAAGCCCACAACCTGTCAACCCTCTCCCTTCTCGACCTTTTTTTTTTTTTTTGGTGAAAATATACATAGCCAAAGATACACCATTTCAAAAATTTCTACATGGACAACTCAGTGACATCGATTACGTTCTTCCGGTTGTGCTGCTATTCTCACTTTAGATGAATGTTTACAGAACAAAAAAGTTTCTCATTAAACAGTACACATGTTGCCCTATGACAATGGTTAACAACCCCATTACATGTCAACAGTGTCCTTACTCAATCTTGGGTTCCCTATCACCAGCTTCCCTGTCCCCTTCAGCCTTCTAGTCCTTGTTCCTAGACTGCTGTACCTCATTAGTCCCATTTTGTTTTACGGAACTGTCCAATCCACTGCTGAACGGTGAACCTCGGAAGTGACTTCACCACTGAGCTAAAAGGGTGTCTGGGGGTCATACTCTTGGGGTTTCTCCAGTCTCCTTTAGGCCCGTAAATCTGGTCTTTTTTTGTGAGTTAGAATTTTGTTCTACATCTTTCTCTAGCTTTGTCCAGAACCCTCTGTTGTGATCCCGGTCAGAACATTCAGTGGTGGTAGCCGGGCACCATCTAGCTG